TGTACTTTCTTAACTTATCTTTGATAACTACCACTTCTTCTTCTGTATTCCTGTTTCCCTGTATATCCAGCACCTGGAGTTAAGCTTCAAACATCCCAACCCTACAGTAGTTATTTAGGGAAAGATACAATTATAAGCTGGTCTAATCTCTGGTAGCAGAGCAAGATAGATGGAATATAGGTCTGGTTAGATGTGAGGTTTCTTGTTTTTTCTGCTGTACCTCAATTCGGGTCCCACAGCTGTTCAGGGGCATGACAGCTACCAGGTGGGTCATATTTGAATGACGTCTCAGGCTGCAGGAAGCATCCGACGAGTCAAACAGCCGCAGACTGTTTTCTTTGCGTTTGATTAAGGAATTTTTGGCTACTTCGACAGTCATTGATGTTTCATTGCAGGTCACAATGCTGTCTGCATAGTGTAGGAAAAGACAGTCATAAGTTATAATTCTGATCAGAGTGAAGAAATCTTCTACATAAATAAACCTTAAATGTTGCTTTATCTTACCATGACGTTCAACTGAAACAGTCAAACATCGCAGTTCTGAATGGAAGACCCTTTGTTGTCTGAAAAGTAGGAAATTACCATTTATTCAAAGAAGAAAACTTTACAGTTTTTCATATTGTTTGGTTTTACATAGAGTAAAAAAATTTGGTTATACAAACACAGGTCTTAGGGATATAGTAAAGTGATGACATGTCTCAGTGCATGTTGTTATTAAAACACTGGTTGTCTGGATGCTGTCCTGAAAACAATGTGGGCTATACCCCTTAGGTTTTGTAGAAGGAGTTTTATTGTCTTATATCAGAATCAGAAATTAGAATCAGAATATATCCTACAACATGGCCCTATACTTACTTAGCAACAAAACTTAAAGGTCAGTTTTGAGTCTTAGTAACATCATGGTTTCCAAGGCTGCATGAGGGGGTTTGGCAAAAACAGAACAACTGTATAAACATTCCTTGAGGGTCGCAATGACTTTGACGCAAACCAACCCACGTGAATTCCAGTAAGCTTTTGACATGATATCCCTGTGCATGTGCAGTTACGTAATGCGATGTCGAAACTATAAATGCCGGTTCAGATGGACTGAAGGTTGGGGGAATTAACTGAGACGTGACGATGCATTGCTGAATGTATGAACTTTTTAAGACAGCTGTATGAATTTGGTTTTGTAAATAAATGTTCCCCCCTCCGGATGATGGAATGGTGTGAATCGTTGGCCTTCTTTCTGTCATAAGGGAATTCTACCAATGAGCTTCCATAGTTTTTGTTATTGTTTTGAGGTCATGCCTTAGAAAATAAACTTTGCTCCCTATGTGCCTTTAGATTAATTCTTACAAGTGTAATTAAAATCTTGCTTTTTAAATTACTGTAATTATCAAATCAGATGTTAGCCTTACCCGTCTATTGCTTCAGACACAAAGCAAATTGGAAAGTGATTATGCAGCTCTGAGTCATTTGGTGTCCATTTTATGATGTATGTGTCTTCTGAAACCTTTTCCTTAGAAATGCGTTGTGGTCCTGTCACAATAAGATTATCAATCCTACGAGAAAAAACAAAGTTCATAATTAAGTGTTCTTTACATTAAGCTAAATAGAGAAAATCACAAAGTTAAACAATTACATCGGCTCAAATGAGGTGACTTTTAAGAGTGAGATGATACTGATGATACTTACATTGCATACTGAGCCTTGGACCTGACTTTGATGTCAAATCTTTCATTTACAAAGGCAGGTAGATTGGCACCATTAGGCGGAGTTGGTGGCAAAAATAGTGGGAAGTAATCGCCATCATCACATGAAGGGATGACGTAATCATCCACTAAAATTCAGGAAAGCAGACAGACAGTTACAAATCGATAAGAGAAATATTGAAACAAAAGATCAATTTTATGTATTATTTGTATGCCTACCATAAACTGTAAAATCCAGAGGAATT